GCTCTTCCCACCACCACCGGCACTGGCTCTGTGACAGCCCTCGGTGGCCCTGTGACAGCCCACAGTGGTCGCTGTGCCGTCCCTTGGTGGTCGCTGTGACATCCGCAGTGCTTCTGTGACATCCCACAGTGGCCCTGTGATATCCCATGGTAGCTGTTGTGCCATCCCTCGGTGGCCCTGTGCCATCCCTCGGTGGCCCTGTGACATCCTGTGGTAGCCCTGTGACATCCCACAGTGGTCGCTGTGCCATCCCTTGGTGGCCCTGTGACATCCTGCAGTGGCCCTGTGACATCCCTCGGTGGCCCTGTGACATCCCTCGGTGGCCCTGTGACATCCCACGGTGGCCCTATGACATCCCTCGGTGGCTGCTATGACATCCCGCAGTGCTTCTGTGACATCCTGCAGTAGCCCTGTGACACCCCGTGGTGGCACTGTGACATCCCTCAGTGGCCCTGTGACATCCCTCGGTGGCCCTGTGACATCCCTCGGTGGCCCTGTGACGTCCCTCGGTGGCCCTGTGACATCCTGTGGTAGCCCTGTGACATCCCACAGTGGTCGCTGTGCCATCCCTTGGTGGTCCTGTGACATCCCTCGGTGGCCCTGTGACATCCCACGGTGGCTGCTATGACATCCCGCAGTGCTTCTGTGACATCCTGCAGTAGCCCTGTGACACCCCGCGGTGGCCCTGTGACATCCCTCAGTGGCCCTGTGACATCTTGGTCCCCTCCCTGACACTGCTTCCCGCCCCCAGGTGTCTGGGAGGCTGAGGTCCGGTCTCAGACAGTGGTCCCCGGCCGCGGCCGGTTAAGCTCACCTTCGGCCTTCTCTCCCGACGGTGAAACCTTCACACATCCATTGACCTCGAGTGCTCTCCTCACACCTGGGCGCACATGCCAGCAGGGCAGCGGTTGGGTGCCTTGCCGTCCGCCCACTGGGGACTCCCAGGGCCCAGAGTAGTGCTGGGCACACCACCCCAAACCCGGCGACATTGCGTCCACCTGATGCAGGGGGAGCCCTGGGCTTCTGAGTACAACCGTGCCCCAGGGGTTTTCAGGGGCACACCTCCCGGGAGGTCACCAGGCCTTTCCTCCAAGGTGCCTCCGGGGACTTAAATGGCTGACCTTTCGGTCAGCAGCCAAGGGTGCTTGCCTTATGCCACACCCGGGAACTTCCCAGCACACAGTAGGCACTTTGTAGTATTTGCTGAATGAGCGCACACGGATGGCCAGCAAACAGCCCAGAGTTCAAGGGCAGCGGGAGACCTGGAAACGGACCACGCTGATGGGCCAGCACCGGGAGGAACAGCCGGAGCTCCACCCCCCACATTCCCCTCTCACGGACACGGGGCGCTTCCAGCTTCCCTCTGGGATCGGGGATGCTGACTTCAAATCTCTGTGGCTCGGTCTTTGTCCACCCACTGGGCTGGGGGAAGAAACGGGTCTCCCCCATTTCAAACACGGGGACCCGCACCCATCAGGAACCAGAGCCTCCCAGCTCTGAGTCTAACCTGGTGCCCTGGGAACACAGCAGATGCTGAGGCAGCACCCAGGCCCCTACCTGGCCCTGCACCCCAACAAGCCCCTGACCTGCAGGGGGCCCTACCTCCGGGCCCACAAGCACCCAGGCACAGCAGTGAGGCTCAGACAGGGGATGGCCTCTGCTTGAGCGCTGGAACCCCTCCCAGACCCCACCCTGTTCCGAGCCGCCTGGCCCATTCTGATCCTGTCGGGGGGGGGAATGTGACAAAGCCGCCACGGTCATCACTGACCAACCTCACCACGTACTGGTGTCTCAGAGCTGAAGGGGAAACCGAGGTGTGGGTGGTTAGTCCTCCCAGCCAAGGCCCCACAGCTGGAGGGCTGGATTTGAACCCAGGCCCGTCTGACGCAGAGTGCTGTCTGTCTCCACCCTGCCAGGGCAGCCAGAAGTCAACACACAAGAGCCCAGAGGCAACCCCACGGCTTGGCCACCATGTCTGTCTGTCCTAGAAGCGTCCGCACTACCAGACGGGTGGCACCCTCAGCCCTCAGGCATGAAGACATGGGGCATCTGACTGTACCGGCCTATAGCCCCATCTGCACAGCTATGGGCAGGACCAAGAGATGTCCAGAATTCTGGGACAACAGCGGTCATCCGTGGGGACACCGTGGGGACCTGGCCTTGTTTGTGACGGAGGCTCTGACCTGCCAGATGACTGCAGAGCCACAAACCCCACCCATGCCATCTGCCCCTCCCCCACAAGGACGGTGGGAATGACTGAGTGCAGATCACCACGCTGCAGGCACCTCTGGGGCCCGGTGACAGGTGGGAGGTGGGAAGGACACCTCGCTGCAGGGCCGAGGGCGGGTTAACGCAGAAGGCCGAGGGAGACGCCAGGGAGCAGGAGGAACTTCTGACCTGGAACCCTGGGCTGTCTCACCCATGCCCCGTGCTCTCCAGGCAGCCGGCATCCCCACGCCCATTTGACAGGCAGGTAACTGACTCCGGCAGTGCCACGACGGCCCAAGACACCACAACCCAAACCCCAGTCTCCCTGCTCTTTTCAACCAGGACCCCCCACAGCCCCTAGTGCCCACACCCTTCTCCCTGGACTAGCTGTGAAAGCCAGAGAGGGGGACCACCAAACACATCTGATGGCTGGCTCAGGGGAGTCAGTTACTGTCACCCAAAACATACAAGCTCCCTGTGCCCACCCAGCCATTATGCCCACCTGTGAGCAAACAAGATTCCTCCAGACCACCCCCAGACAGCAGGCTGGCCAGCCCAGAAGCCTCTTCCGGAGGCTTCGGCCACCCACCCCTGGCACTTGCTCGCAGCCACACTCCCAGGTCCAACTGCAGGCACTGCCCCCGGGGAGCTGGCAGGGGGCCTGTCCCCAGGGGAGCAGGCCCGGACGTGCCCCTCCCCCAGGCCCCGCGCACACAGTAAGCGCTGGCTGAATGCACACCCCCTCCGCAGCCCCCCAGGGAAGCGCTGTCCCGGATTCGTTTCTGCACCATGGCCAAGGGCCACGCCGCAGTCTGTGCCGAGGCAGGCTCGGAGGAAAGGGCGCAGGAGTCGGCGGACCGGCTCTCCTCTCCGCCCAGGCAGCACGCAGCCCGTGGCCCCAGCGGCTGTGCGCGCGCTGCGCCCTGGAGAACCGGGCGGCGGCTCCTCCGCGCCGGAGAACGACCCACAAGCGCTCGGCCCCGGGGGCGCCGGATGCCCAGACCCTCAGGTTGCACCGCCGACTCCAGTTCGCGGCGCCCCCAGGCAGGACTCAGTTTCCCCAGCCGAACGGGCGCCGCCTGGG